TGAAGTCATCTCCAGTCGCAGCCTGACTGGAGAAGACCTTTGGAATTCATGTCACCTCCAAACAGCTGCGAAACTTCTAGTATGGAGTCACCCATGGATAGCTACCTGGAGACCAGTACTCTCGATCTGGAAGACCTCCAACATCGAGCAGCTCCGACAACGTCGCTACGGTCTAGGACATCATCTTCACCGCAGTCGCCAAGGCGCGGTGATGGTATGGACCTGAGTACCTGGAATGGAAAGACCGATTTTCTTCGTGAACCCCGGACTGAAGGTGAGCGCTGGCGGTTACATCGAGCAACTCGAGAAGAATATCTCCCTACATGTCGTCGCCCGTACCTTCTTGGAAACTTTGTACTGCTACAGCATTGGGTGCCACCACATGGAATCGAAGGGCGTTGGAAAAACTCGCCTACTTGGAATGGAAGGGCGTTGAGTACCTGAAGAAGATGGAATATCTAAGTGTGTCACCTGACCTAAACCCCTCAATTACCTGGTTCGGGCGGAGCTCAACAGGGTGGTCTACAGTGGCGGAGAAATCAACGATCTCGCTGAACTCAGGCACTCACTTTCGCGCGGCAGAATCTCTCGATGGCGCTCCTCCAGAAGGCTGTGGCGGAGTATCATGATAGTATTTAATATGGTTGGTGGTAGAAATGTCCGATCAGAATTTAATAAAGTGTAACTTATAGCGCCTCGAAAGTCAATGAAGAAAAGTGACTTTTTTTGCCCCCCCCCCTCCCCCTGTAGAGATAAACTCCTTAATACTTGAATGGGCGGAGACTCGCAACAGTTGCTGCGTGCTCCCATGCCGGTTTCGGTCTAAGATTTACTGTTTCGCTGAGACTGCTGACGTTGTGCAATTTTCAACTAATCTATAGCAACAACTTATCTATAACCACAGCTAATCTATAATGAACATTAAGGAAAACATGATTTCGTGGCTCCCATTGTATCACAAGCAGAGAGCAGTGTCCCATTCATTATCGATACAGTCCTCTCAAACAAGGATGCTCCATCTCCCTCCTCCGACTCCAACGCTTCTACCTACCGCGACAATGAAAGTTGGTTTTTTCGCTATCCTGATGACAATACTGCCTTTTCCAGCTATACTTCTAGGTTTTGGTATTCATTACCGAAGGAAGGTTTCCAGTATTGATTTTTTTACATGATAACAGCCCTCACTCATTGCGGCGTCGACTACAAAAGGTCCTCTAAGCTGCCATCATGCTCATGATTCGCTCCTTCTTGACCAGCGTGGAAAAGTTGGTTTTTGGTGATGCACCTCCACTTTTGGTCTAGCACTTGCTTGGCAAGTGTCGAGCACGCCGCTCATGGAGCGTGTACAGTTCGGGGTTGAATCGGGGTCCAGTCTAGGATTAGCTGATATTCGAGCCAACCAAGGCTTCTATTTCCCTCAACCCCCTTGGATCATGTAATTAGAGAGGCTTGTCTGGCAGGTTGAAAAAAAACCTCTACGTTGGCTGACCCCTTTAATGTAGGCCAAAGCGCATTCACAATCAAGGCACATCTTACCTTTGGTGGAACTTCTGCAAAATACGACCCCCCTCCTCCCCTCTGCCCACCCCCGTTGATTGTCCCCATCCTACGCACCGTCTTCGTGCATTTTCTCATCCTCCTACCCCCTTTCCCGAAAATTCCTACACCTTCTCTCAAAAAAATAGCGCAAAGGGGAAAGGGAGGGTAGGGTACAGCACACTCCAAACTTGTAAAACCGAAAACTGCCAACAACCGGAAACATATTCCTCATAAAACAAATGCGACCCACACTTCTGCCACCAGTTATCACAGCGGCCATGTACAACCCCTTCGCTGGGGCAATTACGTGCCCTCATGGTGGAGTTGAGTTTTAGCGGCTTCTGCCCAACATGCTTCGTTTTCAGAACTTTCTGCGGAAAATTTTCAAATTACGAGTTTGTATCCTTAAAATAGATAGAGCTTTATTAGAACATCTGTAACAAAGGCCCGGAGGCGTTTGAAAACTGGGAAGTTTTTTCTTTCCGAATCACAACGCTTTTGCTGTAAGCGCAGAGTTTGAAAATACGTATGCCGCGGAAAGTCGTTGTTCACCTCTAGGAAGTGAGTCCTCCAAACGATCAACCATACTCCTTACAGTAAGCATTTCAGTATCTTGCCTACCATCTTCCAACGTTACCCAGTTTTCCTGTTTCCATGAAATTTTGCAATGTCCCGGTGTGGATGGGGAAGGAGGTAAATAGCGCACTTGAAACTGGAGAAATCGCAAAAATTCAACAGTTAGAAAACTTTTTGCGACTCGGAAAACTCCTCTGCAAATACAGCCGCCGTCCTCATCTCCCTTCACTGAACAAACCCTACCCCTCCCCCCACTGGTGATTCGAATGCGACCCCCTAACTGGTGATTCCTCGACTACGACGTGCCCTGTTCACAATTCCTCTGCGACTCGAAATGAAAGTAGAGTGCATGGTGCAACTTGAAGAAGTGTTGGAGGCTACGGGCACGATTGCTGGAGGCGAGCGGCTGTTGCCAGCATCACAAGTGGAAGGGGTGCGAGAGAGCGTTTAGCCACATCGCGCTCAGCTCTTCCACCAATGGCTTGCGACGAATGCCCGCCCCCAGCAATCGTGTCCACTGCCTTTGATAGTATTTATAATATACCCGTCGCTTTTTATAGACATATTGGCACCAGTAGTGGAAAAAGCAGCTTTTCAACTTGCTAAACTTCTGCGAGTGAGTGACGATGCTGTCTCTAAGAAGGAAGCGTATCCTTTCACTGATTTCTGGCAGGATACAATAAAGAGACTCTCTGTGAGTTATCAAATTTGGTTTACTACTTCTGTGCATAATAAATTTTTATAGAACGATGTTAATGTTGGCCGCATCATTTCTCATGCTCGAACGGCTTCGATGAACAAGTTGAGACCAATTTTGGATCACCTACGCTCTGCTCGCAACTCTATCATGAATTACAATTAACTTGATAATGGTCGTATTTATTTTGAAGGATTTGTACAGCGATAAATTATACTTGTTTTGATAAAGCAGTCACAAACGAGTGTTACCCCCGTCTCATACATCTCTGGTAAACTACATGTTATCCTCTTGAGTTAATTTGCTTTGTAGCGCTTCTAAAAATACCGACTACTTTTGAAGAGTTGTGCCCGGAAAATGCAGAAGTAGCAGTTCCTGACTCCGTCACGGAGAAAAATTTTCCCTCCCGGTCCGACCCTGTTGAAATATCCTCACGCCTCCCTCTTGCCACAGCCTAGTTACCACTTTACAAAATGCCCTCATCTTCCAATTTCACTATCGATATCCAGAAATTTTATGTTTCGCTTTAAAAAAACTAGCGTCAGCGTGAGGCAGTGGGGGAGCTTCTCTCCAATCAACTCCAAGAGTCGCCCATCAAAAATAGTGGTTACTCACCCTTGCCGTTCGCCCCGTCAAAGCTTCGGGAGAGGAGAGGGGGGGGGGGGAGTAGAAAAAAATTCTCCACTGTGGCGACGTTTTGCCCTGGATCCAGGTCGCGTGCCCGCTAGCAGAATGGGTCATGAAGCTTTGTTGCTCTACATTGAACCGCGGAATTGATACAACTCTCACAGTGACTTCCTCAGTGACAGAGGCAAATATTCCTGTGGGCTAATCATTCGTGCTCAGTAGTGGGCCACCATCACCCGGCTGAGAGCGGCTGTTCGGAGATCCGCACCAAGCGGCATATAAAGAAAATATGCTAACAATCATGGTAGTCCAATCTATTTTGACTTACTTAAAGAATTTTCGTATACTACGTATACGAAAAAAGGGTAAGAATATGTTGAGATGGTCTTCTATTCATGTCACTGGTCAATACATGTTTAATTTATTGAGACATGTTGAAATAATAGCGGCTCAGTATGACCTTAATTACAATGGGCACTGATCATTAGCTCGGACTTGTTTCCTTGCCAAAAACGCCTTCCTGATCTCGTCACTCGTGAGTTGAGCCGGTTTTGGTTTCCGATGGTAGCTGCTCCGGCCTTCTCTTTCAACAAGGGCTGGAATTTCATTGCAATACTTTGAAATGGCGAGAAAATTCGATGAAGTGAACTTACAGCCAAGATCAGCGCAAAGTGTCTTTGAATGATGAAATTGTCGTGCACTACATAACCATCCCTTCCTACACTCTTCGTTGCAGTTACCAATTCCGTCATATTTTGACCGACGGTAGTAATTTCTGAACGTAATTACTTTAAATCAACCCTTAAGAATCCTCAAATATGTGGTATTTCACTAACTCGCGATATTTCTCGAAAAGTACATCGTCTGTTTTCATTCGTTCAATCATGTTATTCCATTCAGACGGCGCTTGCGACTTCAGTCCTGTTAGGTACCCCTCTTGACAAATTGTCGCCAATATAGGAATTTTCATGAAAAACCTACCATATTCCAAGTTAACGCTGGCGTAAAGTTGCTTCCACTGAGGGGGGTTTTTGGGATTTGCGTTAGTTTCAGTGAGATTCAGGTACCATTCTTCGAAGTCGATTACTTGCTACAATATTTACTTAGAATTTGCAGAGGTTTCATAATATAAAACTGTCAATGCTGAACGTATAACCACTGAGGCTGAGAGGACCCTCCGAGAATTGGTTGAAGAAGCCCGAATCTCTTCCACCCCAATGATGCATAATTTTTGAGCAAGAGAACTCAGAGAACTGTTCGCCGCTTTTTGCACAGGCTACGGGTTAGAGGCTGGGGACGCGATGTCTAGAGGCGGGCGGTTGTAGCCAACGTAATTGGTGAAAGGGGTAATAGGGTGTGGTCAAACGTCCTCTTCTGGCATTAACTTCCCACCTCCAACCATCGCGGCCACTACTTTGAGAATTATTTCGTTTACTCTGGTCCAAATTGATCGAACGAGTAGATCGTGCTCCAAAAAGGTGCGAAATGAGCTATTAATTCCATCCCCTCAAATCATTGCTTGTGCTTGTTGAGCAGTATAACAAGTTTCTTGCAAATCACTCACATACGACGACCCTTGATAAGATCCGTCAATCGTGTAAATCCGATAGGCGGGGAAATACTCAGAATATGTAGTGATCGAGGGAGCTGAATAAATGACGCTTGTCGGACGAGTTGTCGCAGATTCTGGATTCTCATAGGTTATATAGAATTCTTCCGAATGTGTATGACCGAAGAACTTGGCCAACAATGGTATTCTGGAACCTGTAAAAAGGTGATTATTATGCTTATACATATATAATTAGCGTGCTAAATAATAGGACTTCGCACCAAAATGCCACACTGTTTCGATCGTGTGAGACCAATTAACACGACTTCGTGCTAAATGCTCGTAATTACACTCCATATCATGCAGATGAGAAGGGTGTAGCCGCGTGCTCCACTTGGAGGTGGTGGCGAGTGCGCCTTTTGTGTGATCTCGCAATTTTGGGACATTCGTCTCCACTTGCCTTCGTCCAGCATAAGACGGGATGACCATATGCATCACATGGGAACTTTGCACGAAAAACGCATTTTGCGCGATGTTCAATTGAAGTACGCAGCCACGCCTTCCTCATCGCCGGCATATGGAGTAAAATTTAGCGCAAGCCTACTAACAACAGGAGGTGGCGGCAGTTTAGGGAGTACCTAGTCCCGCAAAAATGGAACTTCGCTTTCACGAAGCTTTCATCTTAGGCCTATAGACCTAAGCTGAAACGCACTACGAAGTTGTTTGATCGAGTCCTCTGTGCAAAGGGGATATTTTGTTTGCCACATGGTGGTCTCAGTTTTGCCGAAGGCGCTTGTGGAAGAATATCTGACACTCCTCCAACCGACTTGCCACTTTTTTGTCACGAATTTTTTTTCGGAGGGAAGAGCATTTCTTTGTGTTATCGGTATGTGCAAAGATATTATGACATATTAGGCACGTGTAGAAGAACAAAAAAATGTGTCTTTCTTGAACAAAGAAGTGAAGAAAACGCTTGAATTACCTGTTAACCACATTGTAGTAGTTTAGGGCCCAACCTTCGAGAGCCTCGCCGTTTCCACCAGGTATATGGGCCAGTATATGAACCTGAACGAAGAAAGCTTCACCAAGTATCTTCGAAACCGTTCTTCAGTCTAACGACAGCGTCTTTCATCCCAATTTTTCATTGGACCAACTCGTCTCCATGCCCTCAATCTCCATGTAGTTGCATAGTTATCATATATGAAACAGGTTGCAGCCCTAAGTTTTTCGCGAATGTTAAAAGAGATGTCTTCTCTGTGGGCGTCTCAAATGGGAATTCCTTAATTCTGCAGGATAGAGGAATCCTGAATTCATGGGAATCGACGTCGAAGGGAACTGCTCCACAAGCGCTCGGATGATGTGAAATACTGTGCGATTCAAGCTTCTAACAAGGGAGGCCTTTCAGGTTGTGACGCTTCTTGGAAGGTTGTATGCTTGTTATAAGTGGTCCATACAAGGACACAATATTGGTGTTTTATATTGCTTATGCGTTTCTGGGGAGGCTCACAAAACTAGAGAGGACAAAATTTAAGAATTGGCGATTTCAACTCAGCTAATGGCTCCGTTTTATTGTAACTTCGAGCTGCCTACGTTTATGAGGGGTGGCTCTGGGTTAAAACAGGCTCTCGATATAGTTTGATTAAAGTCAAATGTAAGTATCATGTAGTAACACATCTGCATGCACCGAACGCACGTGAGGCGGCGTTATTATTTGCGGCAGCGTAGCGTAGCGTAGCGCAGCGTAGCGTAGCGCTTCCAGCGTACGCCAGCGGCAGTGTCGAAGAGAGGATGCAGCTATCGATCTAGCTTCACCAGCGTTTCTCGAGCGTTTCTCCAGCGGCACCAGCGTTTTGCTAGCGCTTGCAGCGGCAGGGAGTAGAGACTATGTGGCCGTGAGAGAGCGCGAGCAAAGCGTGTTGGCATTGTGGACTATGTGCCGTCGAGACGGCAGAAGCGATGTGCATTGTAGAGACTATGTGCCCGTCGAAGACGCAGAAGCGATGGGCATTGTAGAGACTATGTGCCCGTCGAAGACGCAGAAGCGATGCGCATTGTAGAGACTAAGGGCGAGTGAGAGACGGGCAATCGATGTGTTTTGTACCCTCCAGCTCTCCCATAGTCTCTATTCCCCTGCCGCTGCAAACGCTAGCAAAACGCGCTGTGTGATGACTGGGAGAAACGCCTGGCGTACGCTAGGCGTGCGCTAGGCGTTACTTCCAGCGTGCGCTGGTGACGGGGTGAAGCTTAGTCTGATCGATATTGCATCCTCTTGGTCTTCTGCACTTGCCGCTGGGTCGGTGATAGCGCTACGCTACGCTGCCGACAAGTATAAACGCAGTGCCTGATGTTTTTTGTCAGTGGTCCACTCATTATCCCTGTTGGCGGATGGAATGGCGCAGCTGATAACTCGATGGATTGGACTTTACCACAGTTGTAAGATCTCTCTATCAATGCAGGGAAAGGTTAGCGTACAGACGGACATTCCCGGAAAACCAGTGCTTTCCCGCACAATCGAGCTGGTCTGCAAGGTAACAGAATGAAGATTATGCTTTTCAAATGACACATACTTGGCTTAATTCCACTGCTGGACACACAGTAACGCGAATGGATAGGAAAGCTAAAAAATTAAAAAGTCCGCGTTTTGTTGCCGGAGAATCCGGTCTACAAGTCTCTATTTGGTCGACCCATCCAGAATCCGTCGAGTTATCCGCTGCGCTGCCATTCGATTCGCCTGCAGTAAGTGTGAGGGGACCACTGACAAAAACATCACTGTTGGAGTCCGCGCGTCGCGTTGCATGCAAGCTGTGATTTACTACTGATACTTTACATTTTGACTTTTAGGTTTGACATTTCTGAAGCTCAATTACGAGCACCGGTTATAACTATGGCATGCTCGAATTACAGTAGACGGGAGGTAGGTTAAATTGCCATTCTTCGTCAAAATCCTTTTTCACTTGTTTTGATCTCCCAGAACCGCATTAGGAAATGAAACCATTTTTGTGATTCTTGGCTGTCCTACGTAATGCAGAAAAAACCATGGTCAAAAAGCGCGCGCACGACCTGAAAGACCTCTTTTATAAGATTCATACCATACTTTGTGCTTTTATAACCCTGATGGCTAGCAGATGTACTCCAGGCTGAACGGCATCAAGTTGCGTTTGATGTTGGAGGTAGGATGGTAAGGGTTCATGAAAAATTGTAAAGCTAACCTTGTCACCCATGGCTTCGGCATCCTCCAGCTGCCTGATAAGCCAGGTTAATGTGCCGTCAGGATCGGTCTGGTTGACGTAGAGGAAACTGAAACACTCCTGGCTCATTCTTGTAGTATTTAGGCTGAGGAATTGTGACAGCGTCAATGTTCATGTTGAGGACGCCTCAGAGCACGGCAGCTTCTTGCCAGCGCTTTGCGGTAGTCTTTTCAAGGAAGTAAGGCATTTTGAAGTCCGTATGGGCCACCAGTTGACAATGCGCTGGGATGATTAAAAATCATTGAAATCCAACTGTAACTTACAAGTTGACTGAGTCGCCTCCAAGCGCATTGTTCACAGAGACAAGACGTAGACCAGGGTAGATTTCTTTCATGTAACAGCCCATACTGAATTATTAACCGGATATCTTCTTTTTGTAATCCAAATCGAATCCACTCACTATTTTACATGTTGAACTTGATTCTCCGGAATCCATCCATTCCATGCGTCGGCCATTGCATCATACAACCAGTCCATGTGGAATTGCTTTGGAGTGAAATGAGGAGCGAAGCTGAGACAGTAGATTCAAAGTACATGGAGTTTTGCAAAGTTCCAATAAATATTGATTGAAAACAACTACTTGTCTATTGGTACTCCTTCATGATTTCCGACGGCAAAGTACACTGGAATCGTGGGAAAGTACCTAAATATGCATTCAAATCGCTTGAATTCTCAATTTGAGTTCCTAAAAACGAAGTGTGAGGCAAGTGTAGAAACGAAGAGTGAGGAAAGTGTAAAAGTTGTGTTTACTCTGTACCAGAAAATATCAGAAAGTAGTACTGCGACAAGAAAGTTTCTACGCGCCATGACAAGGAAACCAGAGCTTTGAAAATTTACTCTGTCTTACATTCGGAGCGTATCCGAGATATTTTTCACCATGGCCACATGGGCATCTCGATTGTAGTCCCAGACGGCGTGTGAAACCAAATCCCCAGAAACCATTACATAGTCGAGCTGTAAACTGCACTGTTTTATTGACTAGAGCAAAATTCTTAGAGCTAAGGCATCAGAATGGCCTACATCTTTGTGATTCGCTTGGATGAATTGAAGCATATTCGTGAACAGCCAATATGGGGTATCACAATCGCCAACCGTACCCCAAGGGCCAGCCGGTACTTGCACGTCTGCATTCGCTGCTACAGATACCTCCTAGAAAAATCATAATGAAGAGTGTCACGAAGAGCTCGGCCTTGACCGCTTTATGCAGCTCAACCCTCAGAATTGTGGTCGCATTTTTATGCTCAAATGATGTTTACAACCGCTTGTTAGAACGCCCGATGATGACTTATCTCCATTATTATCTAGCAGTCGGCTCGCCGGCTAACGCCGGCGCGCCTCCTTCTGATACGGCCCGGCTGCGCCGGGCGCGGCTTCGCCGCGCGTATTTTCTTTCACATATTTCTAGACTCAACTGATATCCGCCTTTTGTTCTGTACTCCACTTTTTCCGGTGTCTGAAGTACTCTTGAGCTATTTTACAGATTCTTCGTCTGACTCCGCCCACCTCGGAGCAGGCCCCGCCCACAATGTTTGTGCCCTACAATCTTCACCGGCGACCCTCTGCTGACCTTAATCCACTTTTTTCCGGTGTCTGGAGTGTTCTGGAACCGTTCTACAGAATTTTTGTCTGGCTCCGCCCACCTCGAAGCAGGCTCCGCCCCCAATTTTTGTGCCCCACAATCCTCACCGGCGACCCTCTGCTGACCTTAATCCACTTTTTCCGGTCTTCGGAGTGCTCTGGGACCGTTTTGCAGATCTTTTGTCTGACTCCGCCCACTTCGAAGCAGGCTCCGCCCCCAATTTTTGTGCCCCACAATCCTCACCGGCGACCTTAATCCACGTTTTTTTCCGGTCTTTGAAGTGCTCTGGGACCATTTTGCAGATCTTTTGTCTGACTCCGATCACTTCGAAGCAGGCCCCGCCCCAGAGTTTTGTGCCCCACAATCCTCACTGGCGACCCT